CGAATTGATGGTAGACGTATTTGAAGAATTTGTTGGCGACCCCTTCGGAGGAAATAGATTTCGTACATGGGATGAGAATTACCCCCTTCGTAAGCCCATGGTCTACCATGACCATGACAGAATCAAAACTGGCACACAGGGGAAGGTCTGTGATCAGATTGACGGAGATCTGAGTAAAGGGGGCCGTGGCAACAGAGGGGATTGGGACAAGGGGAGGGGTCATCGGGTGAGTGTCGGATTTCATCTGCTGGCAGAGGGCACATCCATCCACGTATTTACGAATATAGGTGCCCATAGTGGGCCACCAAAAATCACGTTTAATGAGTTCTTCTGTCTTAAAACGACCGGGGTGACCGGCGGTGGGGTGATCATGACATCGTTCTAGGATAAGATGCCGCCCGGTGGGGCGGACATAGGTGCGATTCTTATAGTAAAGAATATCATCTGTAATCGTCCAATCGGCGAGTGCGGATTTCATGGGCGGTAGAGAGAGACCGTCCAATGCGTCTGAAGTGGCGGTAAAGATAGGATTGGGGTCAGATGGATCGGGATTGGTGAGCGTGGTCATAAGTTCAACGTCAAGAAGGCAGATGAACATGGAGTCAGGAAGGAGGGTGACGTCGGCATTATCGTTGGAAGAGTCCGTACCGTGATCAGGGCGGCGGGAGAGAGCATCAAGGGAAGCAAGCTTAGTCCCTGTGATGTGGTGGAGTTCAATATCGTAGCATGACAAAATTAACTGCCATCGTGCTTGTCGGCGAGTTAACTTCTGGGCAGATTTAAAATACAGGAGATTTTTGTGATCCGTGAATACGATGACCGGATGAGTGTTTCCTTCTAAATAGTGACGCCACTCGGTGAGGGCGCGAATGACTGCCAGGAGTTCGCAATCAAAAATCTGATAATTTCATTCTGCTGGGTTCAGGGTCTGTGAAAGATATCCGCAAGGGTGATAGACACTGTTTTCATCGGTTTGGAGCAACACTGCACCCATAGTGACAAGTGATGCATCAGTTGCTACTGCGAACTGTCTACTGGGATCAGGGTTCCGAAGGACCGGTTGCTTTAAAAAGCATTCCTTCAAGGTAGTGAAGGTGGTCATGCACTGTTCTGTCCATAGGAACTTGACGTCTTTCTTGGTGAGGTCGATTAGAGGTCTTGCGATGTTGGAGTAGTGGGAGATGAAGTTCCTATAGAAGTTACAGAATCCTAGGAATGACTGAACTTCTTTCACGGTCGTAGGAGTAGGCCAGTCTTGGATACCATTGGTTTTGGCGTTGTCCATTGCTACGCATCCAGGATGAATTATCATTCCGAGATACTCTACTTCTTGAGCATTGAATGTGCATTTCTCCGGTTTAAGGAAGAGCCTTTCCTGTCGAATCCTTTCAAGGATATGACGTGTACGTTCATGGTGGGAGGTAAGATCATCCGAGAAAATCAGGATATCGTCCATATATATGACAAGCCATCCTTCGTTTATTTCTTGCTGGAACGTCTTGTTCATGTATGCCTGAAAAGTAGCAGGGGAATTGCAAAGACTGAAGAACATGACGTTTGGCTCGAAGAGGCCATATTCCGTAGTGAAAGCGGCCTTCCATCTATCTTCCGGGTGAATGCGGATGTTATTGTATCCTGAGCGGATGTCCATCTTAGTGAAATACTTGGCACCATGTAACCGAGCGACCAGGGAAAGTGGTAACGGGAGTGGGTAGGTGTTTTTGACCGTCCATTCATTGATATACCTATAGTCTTGACAGGGATGAAGGTCTCCACTCTTGTTTCCTACAAAGAAGAAACCGCTGGCTTGTGGTGATTTTGATTCAGAAATAAAACCTTTCTGCACATTTTCATCAATAAATGCCTTGACCGCTGTACGCTCCTTCTTGGATAGTGGATACACCTTGGACATCTTGGGAATGAAACCAGGTTTAGTCTCTATCCGGTGGTCTATGCCAGGTCGCTCGGGCGGTAGTTGGTTTAAACCGTTCTTTGCGAAAATGTCGGCGAAATCATGAAGATAGGAAGGGACGAGTTCCTCAAACGACTTTTCCTTTTGCTTGAGCCCGGCAGCCAATGCAAATTGTTGCGCTTTGTTACTGGTTTTGATGTATTTGGCAGGCCGCGGTAAAGGTGCAATGGTAGGTTGTTGTTCTGCAATGCTGGTACAATCCTTGGTTAGCGGGGTATCCAGTGAAGTGTTGGTGATTACCCAGAGCTCAGTGGCATCAACGGAGTATTCAACCAAGAATTCATTGTCTTCTAGATGGTAGGTGGAGATTTCGCATACGGGTGGTGCATAGTCTTCTGTCCATACGTCCTCTTTCGTATCGAAGGAGTTGTCATCGTCGTCAGGGATGGGGTCAAGGTCAGGCAGTGGTGACTGCGTCTTTTCTTCTTCCTCGTCAATAACTTCTTCTATCGTAGCCCGAGGTGCTGGTTCTTTTGGTAATATAACCGGTTTCACAGGAGGTGCCTTCGGCAGCACTACAACTGGGACAGGGTCTACTTCTTTCTTCTTTCTTTGTTGGAATAACGGAGGTAGTTTATTCTTTTTCCGTTCGTTACCAACTTCTTCTTCGATCTGGTCACTCTTCTCCGTTTTGGAGAGTTCTAGCGTTTCTGCTTTCCACCGGATTACTGGGTCCATGGCACGCAGCCAAGGGATCCCTAGTAAAATCTGATCACGTCAACCAAGTCACATGATGTTGAACTTTCCTATCATGGATCGTTCATCTATCTTGACAATGAGGACGCAATATTGGGTGATAGCGCCCCCCTTCGCATAACTTCCATCTGTGGTGGTAACCTGAAATGGTTTCGATAGTTTGTGCATTCGGATCCCGTGAGTCTTGACGAACTCTTCGGAGATAAAGGTTCCGGCAGTGCCGGAGTCAACAACAGCTGTTGTTTTGATGGTTTTCAGACGAGTTTTCGAAATAAGGGAAATGGGAACACGAAGTTCCTTTCTGATTCCAATACTTTGTACAAGTCTAATGGGTACATCGGAAGATACTGACGTTGATCCAGTCTTCCACATCAAAAATCCTCAGCGAGGCGATGGATCGTTGTATCTTCATCTTCTTGGTCACTGTCGCTCATTTCTTCTCGGCGAACAGGGATCTTCTTCTTCTGCGGACATGCTCTGGTCATATGCCCTTTCTGGTGACACATAAAGCATAAACCTTTCTTCATGTGGTCACTTCTTTCTGCTTCTGTGAGCCAATCTACTTCCATAGCATTTGGGTTGTGTCAGTCGATAGTCGGTCTTGGTACATAGCGTTGTCCTGATGGTTTGGTAGTGGTTTGATGATTGGATTGATATGCAACACCCCTTTGATAGTTGCTGTCGAGTCTGATGACCACAGCAACGTACTTATCAAAGTCTATTGGGATGGTTTCCATCTGAAAGACGGAACTGACGATTCCTTTCTTCAACCCGTCATTGAGAAACATGATCAAGACAGCATCTTGCTTAACACCAGCCTGTGCAGCCAGAGTCTTGAAACTAGTGATGTAGGAAGTGAGATCTCCTGTCTGTCTCAATGTCCTAAGCTTGTTCATGGCAGTGCCAATGGCATCGGCAGGGACGAAGGCTTCTTTGAACTTGGTTTTGAAGTTTGCAAAAGTTCCGTAGGACTTGGTGGTGGTGTTTTCTACTTCAGTATAGAAGGTGAGTGCCCAACCCATGGCACTGTCTTCTGTCATATACGTGAGAGCGGTGATAACCTTCTTCTCGTCGGTATTGTAGATCGTAGCGTTAAGCGTAAAGTACGCCTTAATCGCATACAACCATCATAGAGCCTGGTGAGGACTCCCGTCATAGGTGGAGGGAGCTCCAGCCTTCAATTCTGGGGTGTTGGTTACTGTGGACATCCTGATTGTTCTGGTCTAGTGATGTTTCTAGTTCAGGGGAACGTTGTCGTTCTCTCGCTGAGTTCTTTCTTGGGGTAGTTAACCTCTCAGATGGAGAGGGTCGGTAGATTGACTTTAATCTTTTGTTACGGCAAACTGTAAGTCGACTAGGATGGGCGCGATGACAGGAACTTGATAAGAGTTGCGCCTGAAGCCGGATCAGACCTTACAAATGTAAGGGTCATAAGACAAGCCAGAGAGAGTGTCTCTGGTTTGAATATCGGTTATCAGACGACTTAGGATTGGAGGTCCTAAGCAAAGGATAGTTCAGGTAAGACCTAGTAGATTAAAGTGAAGTCTATCTAAGTACATGACCAAGTTTATATAGTTGTAGGTACTTTAGGGTAGGCACGCCTACATCATCAGTCGAGTCAGAGATAAGAACTACGTCATCAAGACGAGTCAGAGATAAGGGAATGAGTCATCTAGTGACGGCACGTGGTGGTCATGATGTAATACAGATGTGGAAGGCGTTAGTCTAATGATGGCACAGCCCGGTGCGGTCATGATGTAATACAAGTATGAGGAAAAGAGATAGGGGGTAACCATGATTGTAACACAACCTGGGTGCCACACATACAGATATTATCCATGCCTTTGCATTCACCATATATGAAGCACAGAAAGATGACAACATAGAACATGTCACTGATAAAGTCAGAGCCCTCATGGGAGGACCAGTTGCAACCCTTGATGAGAAAGTAGACCAACTGGAGGATGTACTAGTGAAGTACAGAAGTGAAATGGAGAAGATGATCACAGAGGTACATGAGAACATCCAGTCATTGATGGTAGAACTAGCAAAGGTGGTGAAAGATGCAAACACACTTAACACCCAGCCACCTGTCACACCAAATGAGATGCAGGGATCTGATGGACCATGCTCATATGTGGCAATGGTGAAAGCTAATGCACCCCCACTACTAACAAAAGTACTAGCAAAAAGCGAGGTGCAAACTTGACAAATACTCATAGATAGAAGATCCCCATTCTGTGCCAATTCACTGAAGGACCTCACGGAAGCTCAATTAGTTGCAAAGGCAGTGCTGGCCATTGAACTGCTAACCAAAGATGGGGTGGAAACACCTGAAGGACTGTCATTCCTATCTGCAAGAAGACTGCCACATGGAGGAGTGCTCTATGAACTCAACTCAACAGAATTGGCAATGTGGTTCAACACTCCAATGAATAGAAGCAAGTTCCTGGAACACTTTGGCATCGAGGTAGTCATCAAGGATAGGTCCTTCAACATACTAATTGAAAACATTCCAGTAGCATTTGTACCAGAGAACCACACAGCACTATCTGATGTGGAGAAGAAGTCAGGTCTGAAGCCCAAGTCAATCCTAAAAGCCAGGTATATCAAGCCAATTGCCAGGTGCAGACCAGACTAATGCACTGCACATGCCATCTTCACCTTCAACAAGAGAGAAGGAGCCAACCATGCAATCAAATTTGGGCTGTTAGTAGACAGCAAGAAGGTCTATGGAAGGAAGCTAATCCAGGAGCCAACCAGATGCTTAAAGTGTCACTCATTTGACAGTGCACATGTTGCAGCTAACTGCCCTCAGGAACAGGACACCTGTGGAACTTGCAGTGGCCTGCACAGAACAGCCACATGCAAGGTAACAGACCAAAACTGCTACTGGTGCAAGAACTGTAACGTTGAAGGCCACGTAGCCTGGAACCAGGAATGCCCCACTGTCATATCCGCATATCCAGATCTCAGATCTGATCCTTATCTCATCTCAGATCCAATCCACATCTTATCTCTGACCCTATCCACATCTTATCCCCCTCCAACATCTCATCATCCAATCTGTCCACTTGTCCGGTCCAGTCCACAATTCATCCAAATCCACAACCAGCGCTTGTCTCCTTTTAATAATCCCCTAACTCTGGTATTTTGGTTATCGGTATATCTGTCCTGCTCACTGATCTGTTACCTATGCTTCATTTCCATTTCATTATTTGTGATCCATTTCTACTTACCAATAGACTATCCATATGTTTCGTACATAGCCTTGGACCCTGCTGATTGATCATTCTGTTAGATACCTATAGTATATAACCTCCTGTAAATCTCTGTAACACCTCAGTTTGAATATCAACTTAGTTCTGCTCATTCCTGTCCTCCGGACCTGAGTATCTCTACTTTCGTCACCCTCTGAGACTTAGGATTGATTCCTATAGTCTATCCATATCCGCCTCTGTCTACAACAGTCCACTACCATTAGTTTCTAGTCTGGACTTGTCCAGATTAGCCCTACAATACTTATCCTGCATCCGGAAGTCATCCAGATCCGCTATGCTACTCATCCAACCCTCCAGATGTGTTAGTCTTGCCCTTCTGAAATAAGGAGCAATACTTGGGTAAGGGGCACAGCGCATGAGCTGAGGCCAAAGCCCTTAGGATCTGTTAGCCCTTGAGTATGACCTTAACACCCACGTTCATCAGCAAATGGGAAAGCTACAAGAACTGTTGTGACAGTCAAGTTTTCCTTGGGCTTAGATTTACTTACTTTCATTACCTTTACTTACCCCCACTTTCTTTAGCTTATGTTCGTATTTTTGCAGCTTATATAAGCATCACCTCTTACCTTTCACTCTTTACCTGTAGTCTGAGACTAGCAGTTTTATGATGATTTCTCTCCTCTCTGAGCTCAGAGTCTAGTACAGAAACCCTTGTGGGTTGAATAGCAGCTAGGTACAGCACTTAAGACCCAACATATTGGCTAGGTACTTTACCAAGTATCTAGCCAAGTTGTGTTACTCACACCATAATGAGGATGCCAGATATCACTACTACCTGACTGATGACCCACTCACATGGGAAACCCTAGACAACTCATCCGTGTCCTGGGAGAATGAAACACAGCAGCACCAGAACTACAACCAACAGGCACAACCTCAGCCTCAACCTAGGCAGTGATACCTGCCACCAAGGGACTAAACAGAGGAGAGATGAACAGCTAATTACCAAAGGCCACCGCCCCCCACAGCCAAGAGTCTTGCAACATGAACAGGATCCCACTAGGCAACCAATCACACCTCCCGGAAGCTTGGCACCCCCAACTGTGCAGACCACAACTGTATCACCCTCCTCCTCAGGAACAGAACCAACCGCAGGACTGGACATCTTTGCATCTCAGCTCACCCTATGAACAGTACAACCCAGGTCAAGGATGGGACCAAGACCATGCAGGTAACTTATGAATAACAAAAATGACACTAACCCCCCACCAGTGAAAGCCTCAAGATCTGGCAGCAGAATCTCCAGAAATCCCTCAATGCCTGGGAACATATGCTTAGAAACCTTGACCTGAACATATACAACATAGCATGTATACAAGAACCCTACCTCAACCCTGTAAATCTCGCCAATGCCTCCAACCTCAAACAGTACTGGGACATCATCTACCCAACTGACCACCACGCCAACACCAACAGATCACAAACAATCATTCTAGTCAACAAGAAACTATCAAAGAACAACTGGCATATGGTCCCAATCAAGTCCCCCAACATCATGGCCATCAAACTCATAGGACAATTTGGAAAGGTATGCATATATAACATATACAACCCCTGCAAGAGCGATACGACCCTTCACTTTCTTGAAAGACACATATCCACAGAGGAAAACACTTGATGCAATCATGCACAGTGTGTCGCTCAAGGCAAAAACAGTGAAACGAATGAAAATAATGAACATATTGTATGGTTAGGTGATTTCAACCGCCACCACCCCATGTGGGAAATGCCACATAACACCCACTTATTTACTGCGGGCATGCTAATCAACCTTCTATCCATCTATGATCTAGTACAGGTACTCCCACTGGCAATAGCAACACTTGAAGCATCCAACACCAAGAACCACACCCGCCCCAATAATGTATTCTGCTCAGCCCAACTCAAACAATCCTTTAGCCAGTGCAGCATTGAATACCACCTGCAACCAGTAATAACTGATCACTTCCCAATAATCAGCAAAATAGATCTACACCTGGAATGCACCCAGATGGCACCCAAACTCAACTTCCATGAAGTTGACTGGGACGGGTTCCGTGAAACTCTATCAAGCAAGCTCAGCACCATCCCCCAACCAGAAGAGCTCACCAGCAGGGAACAATTCGACATGGTATTTGCCAACCTAATGAAGTGCATAGCCAAAATGGTTGAAGAGAAGGTCCCCAAATCAAAACCCTCCCCATACGCCAAGAGGTGGTGGTCCAAGGACCTGGACCTACAATGCAAAGCAGTACACAAGTTAGGACACAAGGCCAATCACCACACCACATGAAGAAACAATCCAATACGCAAGAAATATAGGACAACCTGCAATCAGTTCTCAGAAAACATCAAACACATGAAGGAAGGAAGAACATTGGAAGGACTGGCTGGATGAACTCACCCCCACAGGAATATGGACACTCCACGGGTACATAGCAAGCTTACTGACTGACCAAATCCACACCAGAATCAAGACACTTCAAGACCCGAGAGCGAATGGACAGGACAGCATCATGCAAGACAATGAATGGAAAAGTGAACTCCTATATGACATATTCTTTCACCCTCTGCCAGAAAATGATCACATCAATCCCAATTTCAAGTATCCCCCTCCAATATGCGAATTTAAACTAATAACTAATGCACAGATCCACTGAGCAATCAAGAAGCTTGCTCCCCTTAAGGCACCAGGACTCAACAGAATATGCAACATAGTCTACATGTGCTGTGCAGATCATTTAGTGCCCCTCATGGGACCGCTGTTCAGGGCCACATTCACCTTAGGCGTCTACCCAAATGAATGGAAGTGCTCATCCATGATAGTCCTAAGGAAGCCAGGCAGACCAGATTACAGTATCCCCAAAGCCTACCATCCAATCACGCTCCTTGACACCATGGCTAAGATTCTATCCTCCTGTGTAGTGGATGACCTAACATACATTGCAGAACAGAACCAACTACTCCCCTCAATGCACTTCAGAGGACATCCAGGCCACTCTACAACAGACTCACTCCATCTACTCATGAAATTTGTCACTGACTCATGGGTGTCACAAAACAACCAGGTATCACTACTATTCCTGGACATCAAAGTGGCCTTCCCAAGTGTGGTTGTCAACAAACTCATGCACAATCTCAGGAAGGCCAGAATCCTGCAAGAATATGTCAGTTGGTACAGGAGGTGCCTGGAAAATTGGTCAACCTACCTCTTTTTCAACGACTACCAATCCAACCTGTTCAATGTAGTAGATGGGATAGATCAAGGATGCCTGTTATCACCGCTAGGATTTATCTTTTATAACTCAGACATACTCAGAGTAGCTGACCCGAACCCCAGACAGGGAGAACTGAGCCTAGGGTTCCTGGACAATGTAGCACTAGCAGCAAGAGGAAAGACATATGAGGAATCCAACAGGAAGCTGAAATGCATGATGAAAAAGCAAGGAGGGGCTCTCAAGTGGAGTGAAGGACATAACACTGAGTTTGAGTTAGAGAAGACTGCGCTAATCTGCCTTTCCAGCAAAAGAATCACAGACCCAAACAACCCAAGCAAAACAATCCCCTCTCCCCAACTCCCAATCACCATCAGAAACCACACCATACAGCCATCCAAATCACACAAGTTCCTTGGCATAATCATTGATCAAGACCTCAACTTCAAAGAACACACCGCCCACACAATGGCAAAGGGAACAAAGTACATCATGGCCTGCAAAAGAATAATACGACCAACAAAGGGCATCCACAGGAAATTGATGAAGAAGCTATTCCAAAGCATCATCCTCCCAAAGATGCTGTACACAGCAGACATATGGTGTGCATCGCTCATTGCCAAAGGAAAGGGACAAGGAGGAGGAGGAAGAGGCACAAGGGGATTTGCATCACAGATGGCTAGAGTCCAGCACACAGCCACATTGCTAGTAACAGGAGGGCTAAGATCAACCATGACAGATACACTCAATGCTCACACTAACGTTCTTCCTTTCCAACAGACACTAAGAAAGACTTACTTCCACACAGCCCTGAAGATGGCATCGCTTCCATCACTGCACCCGCTAGCAAAAGAGATCAAGTTAGCATATGAGTACCATGCAAAAAGACATTTCCAGGGGAGAAAACAACATCCCTCACCATTACACAAACTGATAAATGAGTTTCAGATAGACCCAACCAAAGTAGAGAAGATAGAGCCTGTCAGGCACTACCCAAAATGGGAACCAGACATAGAAACACGCATCACAGAGTCAGTAAAGCAAGCAATAATGGATGAAACACTCACCACAGAGGAGCTACAAGTGTACTCAGACAGATCTCTGGTAGATGGAGGAGTAGGTGGAGCAGCAGTGATGATGAGAGGCAAGGAGGTGGTCAAGAGGAAGTGACTGCACCTGGGAAGAGCAGATGAACACACAGTATATGAGGCAGAACTGGCAGGGATGATACTAGCAATCCAGATCCTAAAGGAGGAGGGAGGAGGCAGAAGAGGCACAATGGCACTGGGAGTAGACAACCAAGCAGCAATTCTAACCACAATGGTGTTCCAATCAAGACCAGGACACCATCTAGCAGACACCTTCTACAATGACCTTCGCAAACTGTTACTGCATGAAGACAGAAGGAAACTCATAGTGAGATGGACACCAGGACACAAGGGCATCCTGGGGAACGAAGCCATGGATGAGGAAGCAAAAAAGGCAGCAGCAGGCGAATCCTCACTACCAGACAAGCTCCCGGCATCACTCCTGACCAGAAACAGAACAATAAGAACACTCCCGCTCAGCAAAGCCATGTTAAAGCAACAATTCCACAGCAAAGTAAAGATGGAGGCCACCACCATCATGAAAGAATCCCCCTGCTATGCTCACCTGCAAACCATCGACCAAACAGTCCCATCCAAGAAGTTTGCAAGCAAAATCAAAGACTTACCCAGGAAGCACAGCTCACTAGTGTTTCAACTATGGACAGGACATGTCACACTCAATAAACATCTCCACTGCATAGCTAGAATGCCAACCACAATATGCCCAGGATGCCAAACACACGAAGAGACTGTTCACCACTTCCTGATGACATGCCCCAGATATGCTAGACAATGCACCATGCTAGGCATGGAAGTGGGACCATGGCAGCTCAATGTCAAGTACCTGCTGAGCGAAGGCAAAGGAATCAGAGCAACACTCAAGTACATCACACACACCAAGAGACTAGAACAGATATTCAGCAATGTCACCCCACCAGAAAAGAAGTAACAGTCAGAGAAGAGGAAAGAAGAACAAGGGAAGGAAAGAGGAAAATTCCAAAATACCATGTACCACTAACCTTATGCCTTAAGACGGCGTCACTGTCCCTGCCTTAGCACGGACATTGCAGAGCATCGACACACCAAGGACAAAGCACATACAATAGAATAGCATAGGTACCGTACGTAGTGTCCACCATAGGGCCCCGCCCCAGAGGACAATAAACAAGGATCAAAAAAAAAAAGTGTGACAATGTGGATCTTTGTATATGACTAGGAGAAGTGAATTGCGACTCACGAAGCTGTTGGGAGGGTGTTCATAATACAGTTACTACGTGCGTCTGAGTCAACGCACAGGTCCGGAGTCATTGGTCGCAAATCGTAGTCATTGGGTGGTGCATACTATTGACAACTTCCGTGGTCCACTTTATCCTTTCCAACAAAAAAATAGTAGGGTTCGGCGTAACGGTGTCTTCATTTCCGCTCCAAAGGTGTACTGATCATTGTAGGAACGATCGTAGTTGGAGAAGATAATACAGGGGTCTTGATGCCTGCGAAGTTTGACACGTCGTAATTTGGGAGGAACTGACAATGATGTTGTGGAATAAGAGGGTGGGGCGTCGGCGTAGAAAGACATGAATTGAGGGTGCGTATATCACGTTCGGTGGGTGCAACGAGGATGGGGAGATGGCAGGGTGAGAATTAAGATATTCAAATGATGGAGCTTATAAGCTGTTGATACTCGCGACAAACTTGCATCCCAGGACTGGCTCCTCCAAAGATACATCTGAAGGATCACGAGGTTGATAGTTCATCACGTACCTTGAGCACACGAGCAGCAGTACTGCCGTGGCTACCAGTGATGGTGGTGGTTTTCTCTGACTGCGGCGGCATCAAAGCAGGCGGCTGACTCGTAGTTGCATGAACATAAGCATAGTAAGACACGGGAAGTGTAAGCACACAAGTATCGTGAATCAGCTGTCAGACGGGCGGGTATTTACTAACTTGGGTTCTGAATCATCCACTCACAAACGAACATGCACGAAGTGCAAGTCTCGTATCCTATTGGGAATCGCCTCGACGGAAGGATGATGAAACAACTTGACCAAATACTTTCTATTACAACTTGGTACATTTTTGCATTACAGTGCTAGGACGCACATACCTCTTCTGATCTGAATACAACAATTCGAGCGGGGAGTAAGTCATGGAAAACACAGTAAACTTGCTAGTGCAGCGCAACCAATCATTCATACCGACGAACTCTCAAAGGTACCCCAATACCATCTTCTCCAACAACCCGCGGACGGGGTAAAAGTCCATTCGCAACTTCGATTGGAGTATCAGGTCCATCCCGCATCTCAAACACGAAGTTCTTCACCAGAACCGATAAAACCGCCTATATCGCAGTGAGTAACGTCCAAACTAGCTGATTGGATTCACTCACCTTGAATCCGTGATTGCAAATTCTTTTCCAGACACGTCCTAGGCCGTCGACGAATGTCAGCAGATGCCTATGACCTGGACTTCGTTGGCCTTCCCACTGATGCCGTCTTCAGCTAGCCAACGAGCAGGCTTAAATTCCTTTGCGTCGGGTCCCCAGATGGCCGAAGAGCGATTGATCGCTGCGACTGGTATCGTGATCAATGTCCCTTTCCCTATATATATACTGTTCGTCATTTCCCCAGACTCCGTGTGCACAGGTTCGCTCAAGGGAATGATTCATCTGCCGCTGCCTGTAGACCTATTGTAAGTGTCTGTTTAGATGTAAACATACACACTCACAAGACGAGTGAGCTCGCCCACTGGGAGTATGGAGTCGTAGAGTTTCATGGACAACCACATCTAAGTATGGAAGATCGGCCTTTAATTGGTCATATGTCGGATCGGCATTAAACGCAAGCAGTTCCCTCTGAGGCTGGTTTGGACATCGGGTGGTCGCGATAGCTCGATCAGCGCCCACTGATAATCGCATTAATAGCGTGCACAACACATTATCACAAGGTAGGCTGACCGTAAGACTGACTGTCGACGAAAGTCAGCTAGTATGATATCA